GCTTGTTGCAGGGCCAGTGCCGGTCGCACATGAGCCCCCGCACGCTGGAGTCCATCTCGCTGAACGGGGCTGGCCCGCGTCGTGTCGATCGCGATTTTGTCCTCCTCTCCAAAAGGGGAGGCCGTTCGCAACAACTTTGGGCGTCAGCGGGAGTGCTAGCCGAAGCCTGCGCAGCAAAAGGACTCTGAACTCTGCGCTAGGCACGACGAAGTCCACTCCGGTCGGCAGTACGGTGAGTGCACAGCTTGTGCCTTCGCCGCTCTGGGAAAGCGGCAGCGTTCGGCATGCGGTATCAAGGTCAGCGAAAAGCATCTGCAACGCGCGCTTGTCTACAGAAGCGCCGGCACTCCGTTGCCACCCCTGTGACTTGAGGAAGCTGTGTTCCTCCCCTGCCGGGTTCGCTCCGTCCGTACCAGCACGTTGGCCCAACTTGGTGCTTGGAAGCCACGCAGTCTCACGGACTGTGCTGTTTGCTCGGCCTCCCGCGTGCTAGGCGGTGTGTTGGAAAGGCCAAGGTCCGTGAAGGGACGCATTTTGTAATCATGGACCTGATTCCTGACCCAGGCCTTTGCACGGTACTTGCGCCAAACCTTAGTACGGTCGTCGTAGTGGTCGTTGTCGGGGAGAGGAGGGGAACGAGCGACAGAAGAACACCATAGCTCGGCTGACAGACGACCAGAAAGAGAGAAGAGGGAAGAAAGAGAGAGAAAGAAAAAATGACTATAGCTCGGCTGGCAGACAAAAAAGACGACGCCAATCCTTAGCATGGTCGTCGTCGTCGTCGGGGAGAGGAGGGGAGCGAGCGAGAGAAATGAGAGAAGAATTTTTTTTTCCACAAACTTTTCGAGCTGCCCAACGAAAGGTGCTCCAGCCGCGGTCGCAGTTGACTACATCACTAACGGGCTACGAGCTATGCACCTGTCCCGCATCAGGGCCGCAACGGCAAGCGGCTCTGGCCGGTGGGGGCTTCGTGGTGGAGCAGGGCCAAAACTGAAGCAGCTTCAGAACGGAGAGGTTCTCTCTCGGCTTAGCCTGATGCCATACACACGGATGCGTCCATCCTCGCTTCAGAAGCACGAACTATGCGTTTTCGATTGGCTCTGGTCCCAGCTAGGCTCCCGGAACCCAAAGCCCCCTGCTGGGTGATGAAATCGTATAAATCCGTCCAGAACCCGTAGTTTAGAATCAAGGTGTACACACACACACACACACACACCCCTCTTTGACAGCTTGTGCTGTACGAGCGCGGTCCCAGTGCAGCCCTCTGGGGGCAGGGGCGTGGAGCCAGCGCTCGTCTCGCAGGACCTCACACATAGCCGGCTTCCGGCAGCACAAGCGACGGTGCCGAGGGAAGCTCGAGCAAAGAGCTGGCGAGGGCTCGTCGCCCGCAACAGTGATGCTGCCACTCCAGCGAAACACAGAGGCCACCCCTTGTGTGCGCACGTGCAGCTCGTGCTTGTGCAAGGAGCCCGAAGAAAGCCGCGGGCTCGGAATTTCAGCGGCCTCCGATCTCAAAAACTACGTTGAGGTGGCATCGCAGCGAGCGCGACGGATCGCGACGGCTCGGGGTAGGTGTCGCGACGCTTCTGCCGCGTTGCTTGTTCGACCCCAAGCTCGTTGTGCACCTCCCGATCCCGCCATCCTCGCGTGCAGGCGCGGCGGACAGTGTGCGCTCCGCTTGAACCCGACGAGGATCGGCCGCTGGACCCTCAAGCATCACCAACAAACACTTGCGCATATTTTTTAACTCTCGCACCGCCGAAGCTGCGAGCCTGCCGTGAGAACAACCTGCCATACCTACAGAGCGTTACGAGTGTGGAATGTACACGTCAGGCACCTAATCTCGGAGCTATACAGGCGCCGAAGCCACTTGCGCATATTGGTCGACGACGAGGCTGACTGCGCGCGCTTGCGCGTTTGACTTGCAAACCGCCTGCATGCCCGTTCCGTTTGCCCTCAGCACCCGTGCAGGCACGGAAGCACTGGTGCGCCTCCTGTGCGTTGCCAGACATGGACCTGCATGAAACCGTGCCGTCCATCGATGCAATCGGTGCGTTTGTTCATGTGTCTCACCACGTAATGCTCGCCGGCCTCAGGCCAAGACCCAGCTTGCCTCGGAAGCAGCGAGGCGGCAAGGCCACTCGCCGCGACGGAAAACTCACAGCGGCGCT